AGCAGGCTGGCTGGAGGCATCTGATAGCCAGGCCTCCAGGGACCCTGACGAGCGGCTACCTGAAATCTAAGCCCCAAAAGGAAGCACTGAGGGACACACAGAGACACACACACACACACACACACACACACACACACACACACACACACACACACACACACACACACAGTGAGCAGGGAAATGTCCTAGAGGCAGAGCTGTGTCAAAGGCAGAGCTGGTGTGTAGGAGTTGTAAGTACATTTTTATCTTAACAATAATGAGGCCTTGCTGTCCAGTGACTGTTGAAACAGTTTATGATCAATAATATTGCAGTGTGTATGGCAGCCTGCACACGCTGGTGACGGCGCCTCTGAGGCATCCTGTCATTATGGAGAAAATGACGGGCATTCATTTATACTGCTTCCCTGAAGGGCTCCGCTTTAAGAGCACTCAGCTGTGCTGCGCGCTGCTCGGTCTTCAGCAGGTACACAACTAAGTGAAAAGGACAGATTTTTGCATGGCAGTTCAGCAGGAGACACAGGGGAATGTCTGCAATTCGGGACGGCTCATGAAGCAGTCATGTCCTCGTTTTTTGAAAATCAAAGACCTGCTGTGACAGTCTCAGTGTGGGGACGATCAAAAGCTTTTTATTATGGAAGTAATGTTTCCATCTAATCTGATTAACTTGAATTATTTTTTTAAAGAAGCTCGTATGGGGCTTCTATGAACGCCAACAAAAGGTGCAGAGTAAACGGATGATAAGCTAAAATGTTGAACCTAATAAATGCCCTTGAAAAGAAAGCAAACTCTTAGACAAAGTAAAATGAAAAACATATATTTGTTCAGACTTTTAAACATTGAGCAGAAAAATAAGTTAATTGATGCAGCAGAGGTGGAAATAGCTGAATGTATTTTTTTGTTAAAGCTAAAGAATCTGCTTGAGACTACATTTCACAAATTAGAGATGTTCCGATAGTTTCTGAAATCCTCTGATGCTGCTGAAAATGCCCTTAAATCTATAGTATATAAGATTCACCCAAATTAAACTGCAACCTTTTTTGTTTTCAATTACAACAGTAGCATTAGGTCAAACAACAATATTAGCAATCGTCACTTCCACGCTTTGAATTCCTTTCTCCTTTGATTCACTCTTCACCTCGACACTATATAAAAAACTATAAAACCAGTCGGGCAGCGTTCCTGTGTGATGAAAGCAGTTTGGTCGTGTTATTTTAATCCTTTCAAGCGTTGATTGTCTCTCTGATCACGGGCGTCGTATAGCAGGTGGAGTTTAATAACAATAGCAGGCTGTTGTGTGCGCCGATGCTCCTCATATTGGGCTATTTTTAACTCTGCCTGCCACTGTGGCCAGATGGTCAGTCAGGTAGCTCGAACAAAAGTTCACCAGGCCGCGTAACAAAGTAATGATACTGATCCGCTCTCTGAGACAAAAAACGTTATTCAGAAGGTTTCATTGCAGGATGTTGTTTCTGGATTTCACCAGCTTAAACTAAAATGTCTTTCAGAGATTTCCACTAAATCCTAACCAGTAAAGAACTAACTCTGTCCCCCCCCTCTGCTTGTTCCAGGATAAGAAGAAATACCTCGACATTATCCACAGCTACATGGAGGTTCACGGCACCGTGCACGGCACCAGCACAGTGCACCTGCCGAGCTACGTCAAGAACCATGGCATTCTGAGCGGCCGAGACCTGCAGTTCCTTCTCCGAGAAACCAAGGTGAGTCCACCTGGCTGATAATTGCCTCACGTGGAAAATGACCCTGCAGGGAAATATAAGTGTGAGGGCATGGGGCTTATTAGAAAGTGATGAAAGCCACAAACCAACTCCCACACTTTTTGGACATTTTAAAAGAACCTGTGGCTCAGCAAACCTGCAGAGGACACAATCTTTTTCATATACGCTGGCCTTTTTATGTGCCAACGCTGGGCTCTGAAAATACCTGTAATCGCAGTTACTTTTCCCAAACCTGTGTCCAAACGCACCGAGGTTTCACGTGCTGCCACGTTTTCAAGCACATGTCAGTGCGACACATATAAAGTTAGAGAGTGAAAAATGGATTCTCATTCAGACGCTGGCTATAAAAAGAGTCTGTATGTGAACAGAGTCTCTTTTCTGTAGCTGAGTGGCTGGAGTTTCTCTTCGTCTCTCCTCAGTCCAACCGTCCACACAAGTACGTCTCCTTTCACATCCTGATTTGTCCCTTCCTCTCACTCCTCGATTCACAAAAGACAAGGGCTCAGCCACACACACACACACACACACACACACACACGCAGCCAGGCCGGGTTGTACAGTGCGGAGCGAGCTCTCGGGAGGTGGTGACGTATGAACACGTGTCAGCGGCGAAGCACAATTTACATGTTGACAGAATGTGTGGTGAGCTGTTCAACACAAGCACGCTTTGTACTGAACCATTTTAAAGAGGAATCTTGTAAAAACATTAATAATGTACTCGGTAACTACCTCTATGAAATGTAATTAATTAATCAAGGTTAGCTTATGTCAGAGTGGATGAAAATAGTTTTAAAGCCTTTTAATTCTTGAAACTTTGGATTTTTTGAAAATTAAAAATAAACCTCTCCCAACTCTTGAAAAGCAGAACATTACATTGTTGTCAAACACCCGACAGCAGCATCTGCTAAAGGTGACAGCAGTCATTAGTGCTGCTGTGGAGAGACGGTGTCTGTGTTTTGGCTTCTTCCCTTTAAAGGTGGAAGATGCTCTGTAACCAGATGCTCTCCCGTCAGACGAGGGCGGGGGGAGAGGCGAACAGAGCGAGAGGAGCGAGGCCTCAGACGAGAGCTGGAGCAGGGAGAGGAAATACAAGGGAAGCTTTAAGAAATCCTTTACCATAACGTACATCTGGAAAAAATGGATTCAGATTGAGTATTGCTTCAGCCACAAAGTAGTTTTTGGACGGAGAATCCAGCTCTATTCTCCAGGACATAAAAACCAAGAACCCAGAGAAAATCAAAGGTGTGTTCTGCTATGGAGCCGATCATTAAAGTGGTTAGAAGAATTACGAGAGACTAAAAGCAAACAACACTCAGAAGTTGGCGCTAGACTGAGCTGGATAAAGAATTGAAAAGTGCAGATTTCAGTGCTCTTGGATTAGTCTGACAGGTTAACTCGCATTTTTTCTCATTATGCGTGATTGTGCGTGGAAACCCCACAGGGCGACGGCCAATTAAATCCCACAAAACCCAAACGTTTTAACCACAATGTTGTTTGAGAGCTTACAAGGAAAACAGGAGGTGTTTTTCCTCTGTGCTGCTTAAACACGACATTTACCTGCAAACAGTCGGCGCTAATTGGCCCCGTGGGGTTTAACCATCTACAGCACACTGTAAAAATATCCCAGCCCGGGCGAACTTTTTGCCGTTTGACGTCTTGACATTTGATTTTTCTCTCAAACTGAATTTCCTGAAATAAACCCTGATACGTCGTGCTGTATCAGTCTGTGATCAGACTGCTAAGGTTTCCTGCGTCATGTTGTTCGCTGTTTTTTATCTCTTACACTTTGCTTCTCATCCCTCTCACATGTCTGCCTGAGTCGACTTGTTTAATTACCTCCTACTGTCGCCACGTGTTTCTCATTTTCCCACTCCTCCAAATCCCTACTATGTAATCTATTAACCACTGGTTTGTGTGTACCTGTTGTAGCTGGTTAGTTTAAGTGCTTCTTTTATTGTTGTCATTTTCTGCACAGAAGAAAACAAACAGGTGCTAGAAATAAAACTCAGTGATTCGCACACACACACGCACACAGAAACATCAGGTACATCGTTCTACTTATTTAAAATATCATCGTTTGCAAGACAAACTTCAATCCAAGCAGCTGAGACACTTAAATTTACATGCAAGTCAAAGGTGTAGACCCATGTGATCTCCCTCTGGTTGTGTTATCTACTAAGGGAACTCATGGAAATCATGGGGGACGTGTTCAAACATCCACATATAAAAGGCAAATAAACCTGAAGCAGAAATAACTATCTCAAACTGCACGGAATACATTTGAATTTAAAAGTAGTAAATAAAGTAAATATTTTAAAGGATATCTAAAAAAACTGAGGTTAAATTGACGTGGTTTAGTGTTTCATCCTCCCTGCCTGTGTTATTGCACTTGGCAGTGAGGGAGGATCAGGATATAAATTTACACCATTTCAGCAGGGACAGATCAATAGCACGGCAGCTCTGATCGGGAGCACTGGCTCTTAAAAGCAGGACGTCCTTGATGGACTCAGCCTTCGCTACGTACACGAACAGGAATATGCAAAAACGCTTTAATGCAAAGTGCACGGCAGCTTTGGTGTCAAGGCTGCGACATAAAGATGCAGATGATGCTGATGAATTTTCATCTTCTAGTTCTTCTCTGTTCATCCCCTCCCCTCCCCCTGTGAGGGGTGGTTAACTGTTGGAGCTGTGAGGAGCCCTTACATTTTACACACACACACACACACACACACACAGAAAGAGAGGAAGCTCTTTGCTGCCACCTGCTGACAGAAGTTTGTTGCTAACAAAGCTGTTTATGTGCAGAAGCCCTTCTCTTCCTATGGACACACACACACACACACACACACACACACACAGACGAGCCATTGTTACTGACTGACTCTGGCCCTCAATTAAATAAGCCACTGGCCCAGATTGCCCCCCCACCAGCCCCCTCTGTTTCTGAATGACTGCCTCACTCTCTCCTGGTCGCAGCGGGCTCCGACTGAAAATGTCCTCAGAGACAAACTCTGAGTGTTTGCTTAAATGTCTTTTTTTACTTTATCTGAAAATGAGGAAAGTTGCTCTTGTTGAACTGGTCAAAACTTTGGGACTGTGGGATGACTAAGTAATTCTGGGACTGTGATATCCCTTCATATCTTCAGGTCTTAAATTTCACTCATGGTCTTATAAAGTCTTTTGATTTAACTTATACACTTTGGAGAATCTAAAACTTTCATCCTCTACATATTTTATATACTTTTTGCTCTCGTACTTTCTGCCTTTAAATGTTTGATCGGATCATTTAAAATGTGAAATATTCCAAATTATTCTGGTGAGGTGCAGCAAAGTTTTCCACATCACAAAAGTCTTCTGGCCTGTGGGAGGAATCTGCATCACAGCAGTGATTCACATCCTCCTCCCTGTTTTTCCCTCCTGCTTTATGTTTGAAACCTGCTGCCTCGACTCTATTTTGTGCTGAGAACACGGGAGGTTAGTTTCAACAGGGTCTAACTGCTGCTATCAGCAAACAACACAAACTCCTCAACGCTGCCATTAAACTTTTCTTCACCTCTGCCGCCATCTGTGTAATTCAGTAGCTGCCCCCTCACACAGGTGCAGGGAGGTTAAGTTTTTTTTCAACAAATTTATTTTTTATTGCAGTTGTTTGTGGGTCTGTCGTTCCCCTACGAGGGTCCCGCTCCGCTCGAGGCCATCGCCAACGGCTGCGCCTTCCTCAACCCAAAATTCAACCCACCGAAGAGCAGCAAGAACACGGACTTCTTCAAGGGCAAACCCACTCTGAGAGAGGTGAGAGGAGCAGGACAGATCTGACGGTTTCACTCTAAACACTCTTCCCCATCGATCGCTCATGTTCTTTGTCTGGTTATCTTTCTGCAGCTGACCTCTCAACATCCGTACGCCGAGGTGTACATCGGTCAGCCTCATGTGTGGACCGTGGACATCGACAACTCCGCAGAGGTGGAGAAGGCCATCCGCTCAATCCTCAGCCAGAAGGTAAACACTGGGAAAACACGTCCACGTCGAGGAACAGGACTCAAACATAAGGAAACTTTTCTTATCGATCATTTAAAGTTTTTATCAATTGAATCATTTCATCAATAACTCAATGGAGTTGTAATATATTAAGAGGAAGAAACGAATGCTAGAAAACAGGATTTAGTAAAATAAACTAAGATTCACTTTAGTTGTTTTCGAAAAATCCTCCTGATCGAGAAGTGAGAGCTATGAACTGTCAGCGAGGAAAACTGACGAAAGGAAGTTTGATCGATTCACAAAAACAATGTTTGGGTGGAGTTAATCTAGAGGGAAGAAGAAGGAGATCCTGCTCCGTCTTCTCCTCCAGGCCCATGCATATTTAAATGCTGCACCCCCGGACCCCGTGTTGTGCCGCGCTCTGTCGAGCGGGTCAGAACAATGGCTTTGTTCACTGTACGAGCCGGCCCCGCCTCATATGCTTCATGATCTGTGGCGAGCCGCAGCCTACCAGGCTCCGGCTTGACTCGCACCCCCCCTTCACACACACACTCAGAGAAAGCAGCGAGTGACTTGGAGCAGAAACAAAGGTTTCAGTTGTTGCTCTGCTCTGTTTGAAGTTTTCCTCTGCAAATCAGAGTCTGGGGAGGTCGAAAGACAGAAGTTCAAAGAGCAGACAGACGGGCTAATATTTCACCAGGCTGAGCTCTCACACACACGCACACACACACACACATTGAAAACAGCTCTACTTGGCTCTGTTCAGACCAGAGTGTGAGTTCAGAAACACACGCAGCAGACTTCACCCCCAGAGTATCCTCTCCTCTCCTGAAACTGGTCGTGACCCTTGTGTGTGTTTTTCAGATCGAGCCCTACCTGCCCTATGAGTTCACCTGCGAGGGGATGCTGCAGAGAGTCAACGCCTTCATCGAGAACCAGGTAAATCAGTTTCTACTGAGAATGAAAACAACACCCAGACTCAAGATTAGGATCCAAACACGTCTCGTCACTGTAACACTAAGACTGTGACACATGAGCCGGAGCCATAAACTTATGAAAGCTGCTGTCGAGTCGCTCTCATGGATTTATATCCCCGTCAACACACTGAAGATATGTTTGGATCATTTTCTGTAAAAGCTGCAATAAAATGTTTTTCCTTTTTTTGTTTTTACTGAACCAGAGGATGAAATAGAAGCTTCGGTTTGTTATGATTTTCAGGAATTTTGTATTTTCCTTTTGTGTTTCAATGAACAGAATGTACAACAATCAGAGCTTCAAGTAAAGATATTAAGAATCAACAAGTTTTCAGAGTAGATTTAATAAACGATCAAAGTATCCCATGACATGACAAACATAATAAACTAGTGTAAGGCAGCAGAGCTCATTCCTCCAACAAATCCATTCAGTTCAATCAAGCCGGCACTCAGGCGGAGTCTCGCAGTCGTCGTGATTTTCTTTTTCTTTTTCTCAGGACTTCTGTCACGGTCAGGTGATGTGGCCTCCTCTCAGCGCCCTGCAGGTCAAACAGGCGGAGCCCGGGCGCACGTGTAAGCAGGTGTGTCAGGAGGAGCAGCTCATCTGTGAGCCGTCGTTCTTCCAGCACCTCAACAAGGACAAGGACTTGGCCAGGTGAGACACACACACACACACACACACACACACACACACACACACATACACACACACACACACACACACACACACATACACATACACACACACACATACACATACGATTTACACAGAGGCACGAGCAGACACACTTTCTCCCAGCTTAACAAAAAGTGTCCAGCTCAAAGGAACCTCTCTCTCTCTCTCTCTCTCTCTCTGTGTCTCAGGTTTGGCGTGGACTGTCAGACGGTGGAGTCGAGCGCCGACACGTTGGTCCCCGCCTACAGCGAGAATCGCCACCACTGCATCTTCCAGTCCGACCTGCTGCTGTTCAGCTGCGCCGGCGCCCACCAGTCGCTGCGCCGCATCTGCCCCTGCCGCGACTACATGAAGGGCCAGGTGGCGCTGTGTAAAGACTGCCTATAGCAGCCACACGCCAGCTGACGGGGGGGGGGTGGACACAGACGCTGGTGAGGTTCGGGGGCGGAGGGATGAAGTTAAACGACGTCAGAGCAGCTTAACGAGTGTGTGTGTGTGTGTGTGTTTGAGAGACATAGACACACACACACACACACACACTGAACTCCTGTGTGTGTGCGGACAAACATTCATAAGTGTGTGTTCGTCATAGTCATGTCTTGAAGCTGCCAACCTGAGCGGCCATCACTCCTTGCATTCACCAGCGGGGGGCGCCACAGGTCCCTGGAAGGGAAGTGAAGTGACTCCAGTCGACAAAGGGATTTAACAGGAAACGCCGCAGCTCTGCAGACTGGGCGTGTCCGTGAAGCTCAACATGGCGGCACAGCGAGGCCAAAGAGACGGCAACGCCCCTTCCTGACAGCTGCCCCGCCCAACTCACCCGCCCCCTACACTCCATCCTCCTCCCTGCTCAAATCTGAAACTGCTCATTGTTTAGGTAGGTTTGCACTGGACTGGCATGCCTGGAGCCCCCCCCCCCCCCAACACACACATATCTACACACACACACGGGGAGGGGCCTGACAAATGGCGGCTAAAAATGAAACCAGTTTTACACTGTAACCAACTTGTTCCTCTCTCGTGGACGGACGTGACGAGAGCAGACATGTAAAATAGATATCTAGATTTTTATTCTGGAACTTTTATCGTTTCCTGACACATCCTCCACCTTTCATTCCCTCACAAGCGGGAGCGTCCACGTGTGGATTTCAAGTCGCACGCTCATTCTAGCGTCTTATTTAAACGTCTCCAGAGGAGCGAGTGTTCGTGTGACAGGCCAGTAGAGAATCATAGAAGTGTTTCAGCCCTCCGGACGCACACCGGGAGGGAGGGGTCATTCTCCGCAGTCGTAGGAACGTCGTGACGTAGACGGTAGCACGTGGTCAGTAGCAGCGGTGACACCCAGACGCATCACAGCCTGCGGAGCAACGTGAAGAACCTTCCCCACGTACGTCGGCCTCCGTACGTACGCAAAGTAAACCACACACTCCAGCATCGACCACACAACAGCAGCTGTTAAACCCGTCTAACGCAGCGACACGCCAAAAACCTCACATCTCCTCGCTCGCTCCGCATCATCGTCAGGATCTTAATTTGCCTGCAGGTTTGCAAACCTTAAGATAAAAGTTCAATTTGTAGTTCTTTGTGGTGAAAGAAAAAAAAAGTGCACTACTTTTGTCTGTTAGAGGTTCAAGGAGATGTTAGTAACACTGTATAATGTTCATATGGGTTTTTATTTATTTTGTATACAGATCTTTATCTTTATCTCCATTTTTGCTGGAAATCTTTAGTTTTTTATTTATAGAGGGGGCGTCGTCTTTCTTTTTGTTCCTTTTTATAGATTTTTATTTATGGAGAGTAATTTAAAAAATAAAAGAACTGCTTTTCTTCAAGTGTAGGAGGGGGCGGGAGCTTTGTCTGCATCTGTTCCTCTTCTAGACGTGAGGAGAAGAAGAAATAAAAGTCGTTTTTGAAATTTTTAGAAGTTTGAGAACTGGGACATTTTTTAGAAATGAACCCGTCTAATTTTAGTATAATCAAACTGTTTATAGGTTTTTCGAACGTACGCATGGATTTACAGTGACTTTCTTTTATGAACCTGCAAAATATATTGAAAATTTTACAGTACATTTCTGAATTTACGCTCAAATATACGTTTAAAGATTCAAGAGTTGCTGCAGAAACAAGTGATGTTGAACTGGGAAAAATTCAGCTGCAGAATTGTAAGTAAGAAAAACTTGAATTTTCTCTTCTTCTCATCACGGCCTCTTTAAGTCGAACAGCTGCGGACAGATGTGGCCTGTTTTATTGTGAAAGGGCCTCATACACTTTGATTTCCAATCTTTTTTTTTTTTTTTTGCACAGACACCGTCCAGCTTTACGATCTCACTGTGTTATGTGTCTATTTGTTTGCTCAAGTGTTTTCAAACAGGTCAGTGATCTGCCGCCATCTTTGCGTCTCATGTGCCTTCTCATGGTTCCGCTTGTTCCGGGTTCAGTTCCGGCGGTCGATCTGTGCCGCGTCGCTAAATCCAACCTCATTGCTTAAATCTGTTTTACGTGAAATGATTTTAATTCAAAATTAAAGATTATATTTTTCTTACTTTAATTTAATACACTTTGTTTTTACATGTTAATTATATAATCAACCCAATCCTAATTTATTCAGTTCAATAAGGAGAAGTGTGATGACTCAGCCAATCACTGCTGATCATCAGTAAATAATAAGATCAGTGGATTTATTTTTAATAAAGATTTTCATTTCCTGCAGTAACATCAATTCCCCACTGTGATAAATCTGGAGGATTTCATGGATGTACATCAGATGTGTTCAGTGTTGCTTTGTTTTCTGCACGTGACGAACATACAAGCGGTTTCCTGTTTTCTTTTCTTTCCTCAAAGGTGTGAGCACTGACACGTTGGACCCAAACCTCTGCTGTCACTTCTCACTTCAGTTTTTTTTTTTTTTAATCATCATTCTCAGCAGATTCCAGAAAAAGACCAAAACCAACAGTGTGTCCATTTGTTTCTCTGCCATAGATGAAGATATATAACACACATTCACTGGTCATGTGATCAGGCCATTATTGGTTTGGGTCTTTTAAGGGTTTTGTTATTTTTATGTTGATTCTTGTTCTGAAAGATTTGAAAATGTCCACTGATGCATCTTGAAAGATCAGTTGAGATTTTAGTCGTTTGTTGCAGCAGAGGCCTTTTTTTTTAATTTACTTAGTTTTTTAAGCCTTCGATCACTCATCAAGAGTTTGGTTTCCAGAAGCTGATTAAAGATCATGAACGTCACAGTTTGTTTGTTTTAACCTGAATGTCTCGTAAAGAAAAACTTAATTCACAGTGGAGCAAACACATCGATCCTTGTTTCTAAATCTCTGAGCCTCAGCGTCTGAAACAGCAGAGCGGTGACGATCGCGGTGAAGAACGACAACGGGTTTGTTTTCAGTCCTTGATGAGTAAAGAGGGATATAACTTTATTTTTAAATAAACCTTTTTCTGTGATCGACGTCTCCCGACTGTGGTTTTACACTTGTTCTACATCACAGCAGATTCACATTCAGTATTTACACTGGCACAGAAACGTACAGTCCACAGAGAGAGAGAGAGAATTTCATGAGTCATACAAAAGTGATGGAGTTTGATTTGTGCCTCATGACACATTCTGAGCACAGATTCCACTTTGCAGACACATTTTTATAATTATTCATTATAATTTCATCTTTAGTCGATAATTTATCCACGAACCATCATCATCTAGTTTCCTGTGCTCGGACCTTTAGACACAAATTTAACTCCTCTGTCACATTAAGGCTCTGGAGTCAAAGAGTTATTACACACACACATATATATATATATGTATATATATATTTATATTACAACTTGTGTAATGTTCAACTGTTCACATCTACAGTTCAGAACATGTTCCTGCTCACAGCTACAAAAAAAACATGGAGGAACAAAGCTGCTGAATTTCTACGATTAAACCGGAGTCTGTGAAACAGAGTTGATCTAAACGGAAGCATTTTTCTGCCAGATAGAAAAAAAAAAAAGTGGAAACTCCACACTAACACAATATTTTACTTCTTGTTTTCTTGTCATGGCAGAAATGTGCTTCTATGCGTTGGTGACATTTCATTCTTTTTTACAAATAAACTTTGATCGTTTAGTGTTTTAAAGCAACTTTTACTGAGCGACAGCGCCCTCTGCAGCCACATGGGGAGCCCTGCCAGTGTCGTCCCACTCACTGAACGCTGGATATTACCCATGATCCCCGGCTTCCAAACTATTCAAGAAGTGTTGCAACTAAAAACAAAAACACAGAACTTTAGAATTCTCTCAACTAAAACTGGAGGAAAGTGAAGATCTGAGCTGATGATCAGTTTCAGACATACACCGACTTACACCACAACTCAAGTTTTTAGAAAAGCTTCTCGTCTTCGGTCGTTAATCTAGAACATAAATCAGCTTTATTACCATGTTGTTGCTTCACATGTCACCATGTTTAACCACAGGAAGATTAGAATCATTTAAAATCCCCAACCGAACAGATAAGGTCACAGACACAATATCAACAAGATAAATATCAACTTGTCTCCGCAGCCTGTGATGAAACAGGCGTCACAGTACCAACACAGAAAAAGTGACAAAGCCAAAGTTTGACGATGTCGTGGCTCAGAAACTTTTTAACCAGATGAGTGGATTCAACAGTCGTCTGGTTTCAGAGTAAAACTCTCAACAGTCACAAGGAGACGATCAACTCCTGTCTGATCAACTCCTGTCTGATCAACTCATCGATAACCGACCGCCGACAAACTGAAGCTCAACTTTGCTGGAGGACGGAATCTGTCACAGTAGATTGGAATATTTCACAGAAAGTAGCAAAAGTAGGTGAGAAGGAAAATGAAACAATGCAACAGAAGAAGTTTTAAACTGTCGGCTCAGAATTTATCATCGATGACGAGACAGAAGAAATTAGAAAAACAGGAGAAACTCATTCTCACTGAGGTCAAACTGAAAATGAAACGAGCCTAAATTCAAACAAGGAAGTCTTTCTCTTCCTCTCAAAGATCTTATTCTACTTCTGTGCACGGTGAAACATTCTGTTTTACAATTACAATCCACAAACACATTTGTCACAAACTGGCTCAGCTGCTGTGACGATGCAAAGCTGGAGATCCAAAGAAGGTTCATGGATTCAGCTCAGAAACTGGATATGATGTGAAGGAGACAGAAAACCCAGCAGGTTCAGTCTGAGCAGCCACACGGAGAGAAAAACTAACTTCTATCAAAGCATCTGTCTCCATTTCTACCTCAAGATGTGAAACAACAACTTTAACTTTCCACACGACAGAACAATCGTTTCTAATAAACTCTCCATCTCTTATCAACATGTGAGACGTGGATACCTCTACTCGCCAGTAGATGGCACAAGATGTCTAAATACGTACTTTTATTAACATGAAGTAAACCGAGTTGGGTTTTTCTCGTGTGTGACGCTGAACTGGAGGTAGAGTCACGACTGTAAAACTGATGATGTCATCAGGCTAATGATGAGGTCACTATGACGTCACTCCAGATAAACACTGTAAACAGAAACCCCATCAGCGACAGTGTGTGTGTTCATGTTCCGTACGAGGCCTCGTGTTGACGTCACTCTCTCAAAACGCCATCAACACTTCACTGCTACACACACACACAGCCGCACAGAGGCCTCTAGGAACCATGGGAAAAAACAAAGCGTGCGTTTGGACAGGGCGATGAGGAGGAACTGAGGTATCGTACATCATCTTACTGCACAGAAATGTTGCCTTTGTGTATTTGTACTTGTCTTGACGTTCCCTCCCAGCTCAGATCTTTCTGCTCGTGTTTTCTACGTGGAACAACAGAGAGCTGCTCACGGCTCAAAGACAAACATATTATATTTACAGCAAATTGTAAAACACTTAAAAAGGTGCCACAAGAGTTTGATCACCCTCCCTCCGCCCGATCCTCAGGTCGCTGGCAAAACTCCAGGCCTGAGAGTCTGCGGAGACATGGGGGGGGGCAGTGATCACAGACCCACACCTGTCAATCCCACCCCCCCAATCCCCAACCCCTATCCCCTCCTCTTCTTCATCTCCATCACTCAAAACGCTCATAGTTCCTGGTTTGTCGGATCCGTGGAACCATGTCCAGCAGCAGCCTGCAGACCAAGAAGAGCAGGAGGTTTATTCAGAAAAAAGAAAACAAGGATCTTTAAATATTTAAATACAAATAAAAACATTGTGCATTTCGAGGTTCCTGCACACAAATTCCTTTCATTCGTTTTATTTGTTGCTTGAGGCAAAATAAAATCTCAATCCATCACCAGCGATGATTTCAAACTTCAGACTAAGTTACAAACGCTCCGCTGAGAGGAAACTTACAGATGTCACTTTTATTTATTGTAATAAAACTGTTAGAATCTTTTTTCTTTAGTCTGAAATAGAAACACTACAGTGAAGTTGGAAAAACTTCCTTCACACCAGACACAAACATTTATCCATTCAGAACCTCAACTTAACATTTCATGAAGCATAAACTCTTCAGCCTGAACATTAACAGCAGTAACATGTTGTGGCTGATGAGTCTGTCTCTAACTCATGTTGACCTACAAGCTATAAGTTGAATGTCAGCCACACTGTGGGTTTATTTGCTGTGGCCTGTAGCAGAACTTGTTTCCTGGGCAACATTTAAAACCTTCAGTGTCAACAAATGAGCTGAATCATTTTAAAGGCAACATATCACACACACACGAAAACATACTGTCGTCGTCACAGACGGACAAATATCAGACACATTTAATTTATTCCAAGCCCAGGAAACATGTCACACAATGTGAAGATACTACTAAAGTTATAATAACACTAATAATAAAACATGCAACTTTTAAACAAGAGGTGTTTAAGCTTGAATAAAATCATATATCAACATGAACACATTCCACATAAGATAAAATCTATTGGTTACAAATTTGCGAGGACAGTTTCTGTGAAACCGGGTGAGAAACCTGCTGATCACAAATAATCAACGTTAGTCTGAGAGCTGAGATCTTACTTGACTCCATATGCGAGGATGATGAGGCCTATGAGGACCCCTATTGTCCCGTCCAGGTACCACACCTGGGCTTCGTGCTTGAACACCTCGGCACTGATGAGGATGGAGAAGCCCATGACTCCTCCCACCAGTGAATTGAATCCTGCACAAATAAAAGCACTTGACGTCATCTCTTTGTCATTAAGTGTTGAACTCAGCTCGTTGTGTTTGGGTTCAGTGGACGTGTGAGTCTCAGTTCAGAGTGTAAAGTGACGTGACAGATTCCTGAGAGGCCTCCGATGACCTGAAAGTCTTCTGTGTTTGAGCGTGTGTGTTCACCCACCATCCGTGATGAGGGCTCGGCTCGTCAGCACTCTACCCAGCATGAACTTCACCACGGCCAGGAGGATGCACACCACGCCGCTGACGATGGACACGCTGAAAAGGAAGCCATCCTGAGAAGAAGACAAAAGCAGACGGACAGCGAGAGTCAGGGTTTGTCTTCTTATGATGTTAACTTCGGTCACTGTCGGTGTCCCTCAGGGTTTGAATCTAGGTCCTTGCACCACTGGTTCATCCACATCTATCCATTTTTAATTATTACTGCGTCAAGCAACCACTTCACTCTGAGTTTTTCAGTTTATTTATTTGTTTGTTTGTTTTGCAGATTAAACTGCATGTTGACTTAGGGAGTTCCTGAATCTACAGATCCTCCATCACTCTTCACCAGACACACGACAGCAGAGTCAACACTCCACAACCACAACAGGTCCGTCACGGCCTACACCCCCCCCTCCCACACAATCCCTCATCTATGCTCCCTCCTCAAGATTATCTTCCATCAAAACACTGATCCATCACATCCCACTCATCCTCATCTGCTCCTCATCAATCGAGGTCTGAATATGTCTTCTCCTGGTTTAGAATATTTATTTATATGACGTTGTTACACCTCTTATGAGCAAATGCACCACGGAGGATGGATGAGGGAGGAGCAGGACGGATGAGGGGGGGAGTGGAGCTGCAGAGCACTCAGTGCCTCTGCGGCAGCATTAATATTGCACTATATGGCCTCAGAGCCATGGAAAGCTAATTTGAACTCAGAGACATCAGAGAAGAAGCGAAAAGCTCGACACGCTGCACAGACCAGTGACTCACAACGTTAAACAAACATGTTCTACAAATATTGTACATTCGAGAATTCATTCATCGCAGTCAAGAGACAGATTTTGGATTTGATGTGATAAATGTGAGAGTTAGAATTAGGTTCAGAGCTGAGCTTCAGGGGGAGGGTCCTCACTATGACACGTGTGTTGATTTAGCTGTGTTTGTCTTTCAAGGCATTAACGCAGATATACATTTGGTTCAGCAGCGATGACAACGTTACATATTACAGCTGCATCATGTCGGGGTAATTCATTCCTCCTCAAAACTCAGTTATCACATTTACATGATGCAAAAATAAAGTTATTTAGAAAAGTTCTGCTTCCAGAAAGCTGCAGTGACAGATGGCTCACTGTGACTCTCAGGCTGTTATCGTAAGGAAGCCCCTCGGTGACCCTCTGATCAACAGTCAAAGTGTGTGGGCAGACATGCAGGCCCATGGGACACACACACACACGCACGCACACACGCACGCAGAATATGAAAACAGGTACGAAATGTTCTCAGCTTTTCAGAGGCGGAGACGTCAGGTGAGAATTACTTCATCTACAATTACCTGGGACAGAACGAGCAGAGGAGAAGAAGAAGAATGGAAATTGATTTCAATGGGTTGAGGTGAAATTAAACTGGGATTGACTGATCAGATCCGTTTCACCAAACAAAACTACAGATAAAATAGTGAGAAAGGCAGAAACTGCCTGAAAGTAAAGAAAAGAAAATAGTCATCAGATATATATACATATACATCGAGCATAAGGATGTGTAGTTTTGTGTTTTTACATAGAATTCAATGTAATTTGACATTCAAGACACTTGAGCATGTGACTAATCTATTATTTACAGTTTTTTATTATATTGAATATGAATTTATGGATTACAACTTGTACTTTATATTATCAGTGTGTTTCACTGGCTCGGGGGTCTCAGGTCTCTGCAGCTCTTCTAATTAAATGATGCTAAAATGCTCGTATGAATAGTGAATCTTTGGGACGCTGAATGACATTAATTGGACTCGGAGGATTAACAGTGTCAGAACGTTCAGGTGTAAAAAAAACAAACCTCCTCCTCGTGTTTCTGTCTGCACCCTCCTCCTCCACAGGTTACTCTCTCCTCTCCGCCCTCCCTCCCTGTCTGCCTCACCACTGCATATTTATCCAGCCGCCTACCTTATTAACATTTCATTGCAAGGAGGACGAGAGGGAGGTGGTGAAAATAAACCTTATTTCCAACTCTGGTGTGCTGAGGAGGGCTGTGAGCCATGCACATGCTATTTATATCTCCATCCATGATGCACCACAAACCAGTCTGATAGTGTGTGTGACACATGAGGAGCAGAAATCTTCTGCTTTGGTCGTGCACTGTCGGTCGGGCTCGACTCTGCAGCCACAGAGGGAGAGACGGAGAACAAGTCGGATCAATAAATTAATAAAGCATCTGAAAACTAAATCAGGTTTGAGCCGAGAGAGATTATTGTTTGAAATGTCTCAACATGGTGCATTTCGTTCTGCAGCTGATCCAGGAGTATGATTAAAACACATCCAGCTATGAGCATGAGTTTAGGTTTTCATGCCAACTCTACAAATCCCACCTCAACTGTGCTGTATCCTCCTGCACCACAGACTCTGCTCTGGTTTTCTGTTCGTACTCACATTGAAAATAGCTCATGTTGCAATAATAGAGGACGTTTGGGGAATAATTACATTTTAAAGTAAATGAAATCAGTACAAGTAAACGTTTCTCTACAAGGCGAAAAGTAATTCAGCGACACAAACTAAAATGTTTCCATATTTAGACACAATCATCGTCACCACGTACTCATAAGTGTTTCTACGGAGATGACTATTGCCCGGCAACCGGGTGATGAAGCTATTTCAGGAAGTGAGAAAGCTCCCGAATCTTCACACCTGAGATTTGAGACATTCTTCATCCAACAGCAGCGACACTGTTACACACGTTCACACTTACTCAATGTTCATGGGAAAAAAAGACAGAATCTGTTGTTCAGTCTGAACATCAGGTTTGTGTTAGCAACCAATTGCAGCTGCTGTGGAATGATCTCACTCATATTGGATGTTTTTATAAGAAGCATAATTTAAAGCACATTAACTGTCGAACACACTTTACAACACATGACATTAAATCTGACTAAAAAAGGCCTTGAAACTTGACTTTCTCCGTCAGACTCTTACTGTGACAGACCTCATAAGATCTGGTATTAACATCCATCCCCGACAGATTCTGTCACAGGTGCTCAGCTCCAAGTTCAGGTCTGAATGAGTCCTGAGAATCACTCAGAGCCACATGCTCTTAAATTGGTAAAATCTTATTCCTCAGCAGAGCCACACACGATTCATTCATCCCGTCCTGACTCTCTCTCTACTCCCCTCCCTCACTTATGCATGCACCCCCCCCCCAGTAAAAACAACATCTAGTCTTTGTATATGTACATGTTGATTTGCATATATAAGACACATTTTAATACCAGGTCTGAACCGAAATAATTAACACATCAGGATTTCTTCAAGTTTTGTTTTACATGACGTCACATTTAGCAACTTTTGTGATTTGTTTAGTTTTAAATCTTATTAATAAAATCTCATCATTAATACATAGAGATTAAAAAAATGAAATGCGATCATTTAGGTGACACTAATTTAATTTTTAACTATTCTAACGTCTCCTTTTCATTTAAACTTGGTAAAGAGGAATGAAGTACGTGTGCATGAAGGATGAATTAAACCATTTTCAACAGCAGGTCACAACAACGTGACCGACTTCACAAACCAAGACATCTGTACGACCCCACAGCGTCTATATGAACGTTACAGTACATTCAGACATGCAGGATTCAAAAACTTACTTCACAACTGCAAGTCTGATGAGATGCTTTATTACAGCGTCAATATGAAATCAAATTATAACCAAATCATCCAGACTTAATTTTAGGAGACAGAGTGGAAACCAACAACTCTGAGCTGTGGCTGCAGATCACCAAATCTGAGCACAATTCTCAGCACAGACAAAGTCAGCAGGGCATTTTTTCTGGCTTCTAAGTGAAATCCCGGTCCGTGGTATTACAGAGAAGCAGATGAGGACAAAGTGGTCGTTAGTGTCTGGCCAAGCTTTAAAAATAGCCACAAATTCCACAGAAAAATCAGATTACTGACCAGAGTTCAGTGAAATGCACAAATCTGTTTAGTGACTGTTCAGCTGACAGTGATACAGCTGTCAGGGCCCCACGCTGTGCTGGTATTCATGTGCTTAGGTTTTTCTAATCTGTCCCTTAAGGTGGAGCTTTAATCCAAAGATCTGCTCCATCTCAAGTCGGAATCAGATTCTGACACCGCACATTGTTTTCTTCATATACTGTGAAAACTCTAATCCAGTGTGATGAAATATATCATCAACTCAAAGTTCTCCACACATAAACCTTTGTATTAATATCTGATGATATAACCTATAGATATGGGTCAGACATCAGAATCTGAAGTCTTCTCTGGAGTTATGAGCCTATGAAGAGTAATTAGAATTTATCTCAGTCTCCCTAATATTTGATTAAAGTATGAAAGAGTGGCAAACACTTCTACTTTGCTCAGCCCATCTTAAACATCAAAACAATTCATCCACATAGAATTTCTAAAAGCTCATTTAAACATTTCCAGTATTCCAGACAAATTATCTCTTGACACAATGTTCTAGGTCAAATTAAAGCCTCAGTAAAGACAAAGGTGCAACTGTCTGAAATGATTTAAAACATGTACAAATCAAGTATATTAATTCTTACCACTTCAGGCAACAGCTTGGTGGCCAGGTCATGGATGGCCTTACCCAGAATGCACAAGGAGGACAGGATGAAAATCACACCCAGGATAACACAGGCTCTGAGGAGGAAAAACAAAAAATGTCAACTGTGGTGCAAGAACAGACAGAGACAGACGATATCTTTTAGAGTTTAACTTCTTCGTTATTCTGACATCAACCCTTCATGGGGCATCTGGAACACAGATCAGTGATGAAAATAATGAAACACAGCTGCTACCTGCAGGATGGACTCAGAGTTGTAGAAATACAGTTCAAGACGTAATGAGTACAAACTCCCTCAGCACGCTTCAATTAATCTGAGACATCCTCCACAATTCATTCAGTTTTAGAAATTCACCGAAGCATCTTTGCTTCTTCCTTCACAGCCTCTGCTGGCTTCCTGTTTAGCTTCGTCCCGCTGAATGTCCACGTCTGTTACGGATCATATGGTGTATTTTCATTTAGCTGTAAGGTTAAAATCCTCCGAATGGTCATGAGTTCATAACACAGTGAAGCGGTCGGCACAGATTTATTGGAAGCAGCAGATGTTCGTTTTAACATCTTTACCTAATTAACAAATTCCGGAGGGAGACCAAAGAAGAATACAAAACTATTGGAGCATATGCCTCAGTCATGCACGGCTACAAGTGTGTGTGTGTGTGTGTGTGTGTGTGTGTGTTCACGTCTAAAGGCTGCTTCTCCAGCCACGTCCAGCAGCCTGGGCTTTGACCGGATGAAGTAACCAAGGCAACACACACACACACACAGGCCCCCCTGTTGTGTCTTGTACAGCATGGATGTAAAAATGACAACGTCTCAGTGCAGCCATTTCACCACAAGAAAAAACAGCATTAATACATTTTCTGTTTCAACACATCCATCATATCACATTGATGACTTCGCCTTTTAATATCAAAAACTCATGTAAATGAGGTGTTTTGTTTTTTTTTGAAAAGCTCCACGCTTTCATTTAGGAAACTAATTTGTCTTGTTTTGACAGGGTTGAGCTTGTTTCCATGGTAACCGGTCTCTACCTGGGCACCACTACTGATCCTCATCTCCTCCATCAGGCACAAACGGATAAAAGAATTAAGAAGAACATTGATTCTCTGGTTGTGCCTCGCTAGTTTGCTCACTCGCTCTGATGGAGGCTGCTGTTTGACAAACAGAAGAGAAAGTGCTGGAAGAAAAACAGAAGCACAACACTGCTGTTATCGTGTGTGTGTGTGTGTGTGTGTGAGCACATGCAGGGATTGTGTTTGTATATACATGGACACAGTAAGCACTTGTTAAACCTATGCAGACACATGTGGGTGTTTTAGTCGCATGCAGGTGATTCTCACTTTTCTGTGCGTTCAATTCATGAATATACAGAATCTGTGGGAGCAATTGTTTTCTGTACTTGCAGATGTAAAAAATAAAGTTGCTAAATCACAAGCCTCTCAATATCACATTTTGCAACTATGTAAAAAATTGTCGAAGTTTGCTCAAGGCTTTCTGCAGAAAACCTTTTCCTTCTTTGTTGAATTAAGCCAAATTCTCCAACTAGCAGCTGAGGTGACGAAGATATCTGCCGTCAAGTGGATCAGTGCGAAGATTTCACACTCAAATGTGTAAATATCGATGATAAACCAGCCAATTATGTTTTAATTTTGTTCAGAAATAGAAGAAATGCTTCAAACTGGTATTTGATACGTTGGCAGCCTGTCAGATGTTTGAATTAATGTCTTGTTCCATCAGCGTCTCATCTCCAGAGGACGTGACCTCATACGTCGTCTCTGCAGCAATTAGCAGTCACTCCTCCGAGACCACCACATCTTGAATGTGTGTGTGTTGTGACTGACAGACTGAAGCTACCACACACTTCTACAACTGGGTTTCACTCATCTCGTCTTTCAGAATATTCAACTGGCTCCGACAGGTCAAAGCAGAAAAATGCAGATAGTCTTTTAAATATACTTTTAAGACTAAAAATGTTTGCGTAGAAAGAAAACAACACCGACGTTAACTACCTGAACATTGATTCAGCAATAACCAACACCCGACAATAATATTCCATCATAATAAGTACATTTGTATCACACTTGTTTAAACAAGGTTACACAGTACTTCACAAACTACATGGCAGAAGACAAACAAGTATATTAAAGGTATTCAGTTCCATTTTAATCACTGAGCGGTGGTTGTACTTACATGTATTCCCGGTGTGCAGAATGAACAGCTGCAGCGTTGCTGTACCGCCACAGCACAATGACGGAGGACAACACGTCCAGCGTGGCATCGAACTACAGAGTGAAGACAAGAAAACGATTTCAAATAGATTCAATTAGTCGATCATTGACTTTGAACAACTGGGCCAATTTTTGAGATCCCCTTCTTCACTGTCCCTGCTCTAGGTAAAGGTAAAAGTCTGATTTGCTGAATAAGCTTTTCTTTTCCTGCACGTAGATGAAGGTGAAAACAAAAACATGCAATATTCTCCAGCACACAGCGTCAGACATCTTTGCAAGTGACTTACAGCGAATCCAAAAGCTGAAGCACTGTGGCGCATGATGGAAACAGCTGGAAAAGAAAACAGAATGAAACATTACTCAACATCCACAGCTCACATACATGTTTGTCACATTAGTTAGATCTTTACTGACGTTTAGTCATAAACATGAAGTTATAGCAGCAAATCGTCAGTTGAGAACAAGTTAAAGTACAGTAGAATAAAACCATTTACTAAACACAATATTTATACTTATGTATAGGGAGATATTGAAAATAAAAGTATATATAAACATATGGTCAACAATACACAAATGAAAAAGTATATACACACAGTATATTTTCGGAATAAGCACTGTTGGTGTAATATGTAACAAGTAATGTGCAAATGGACACAAGTACACAGTGCAAGTAAAGAAGAGTAATAACACACCCACAAAAATAAATGAAGGGAACTAGTTTCACAAGCTTTTATTGTTTTATATGAGAGATGAGTTTTCAATCATCAAAATACATTCCAGTGACTTTCCTCCTTATGTTACTTCACATTTCATCTCCATGTTTCATCTCCATGTTTCTAGCTTCACGAGCTTCTCATGTCACGTTTTTGCAGGAATCCTCACAGGATAAATATTTCCTGGCAAGCACTAAATAAAGATTAATAACACAAATGTAAAAAATCTCTTTGTCTTTATGAAAGAGATGCAGTCGCAAAGGAGGCATTGAGAGATAGTGAAGCTCCACTGGAACATTCAAGACTTTTAGAAATGTGAAGAGAAAATCCACTGTAGGTTAAACAAAACTATATACATCTGTATTTTGAGCTGTAACTTATTCACACTTAATGTAGGTAAAGCAAATGAAGCTAAATAAGATGAAGGACAGTCAGGGTTATAGAAGACGTGTACAAAGCAGCACCAAGTTTATGAAAATAAAAAAAATCCAGCTGCATTTCTCTTGACACAGACGAGCTGTGGATCAGTTCACTAAACCAGGTTTGTCAAAGACATGATGATATCCACCAGATAAACACTGATGGAGCCCTCTCCTGTTAAACTGCATTGACACATGATCACGGCGAGCGACTGCTTTTCTGTTTTTAATTAGTTTCTGCTGCAATTAAACTGAGCTGTAGATGTGTTGACAACCATCACCGTGTGAAGTCATCCACTCACACCTGCAATGAGCAGAGAGGGAGGATGAGACAAAGAGAAAGATGCTGATAGATGGAGGGGAGGAATCCTCTCCTCAGGTTTATTTTTAGCTAGACTCACTGGGGGCCAGTAACTCGCCTCAGCTCTGCACACAGAAACACTGCACTCTTTCTCTCTGCTTCCCCTGTAGCTGCTCATTTTCTCTCTGCTGCAAGAGCCGTAAACTCATTTCTTCCTCCCTCCGAAACCTGCTCCTCCAGTCTCAAGCTTCCTCCTCTATCATCCCTTTATTTTTCACACTCATTCAGTTTCTCTCTCTGGGCCGAGACGAAAAGCTGCCTTCACGTTCACACACACTTCTCATACACGAGCGAGAATTGAATACAAATTAGTGCGATAGCAGAGATCTGCAGAGACGCAGCATGGAAACAGTGATGGTGAAGTTATCTATGAAACAACTTTAGGTGCAGTAAATGTGACACCGGTGACTAAAGTGCAGATTTTGAAAACCACAAAAGCAAATATTGTTACTAGGCTCTATTATTCATGAGCACAATTATTTATCTTTCATATTATTGACTTTAAAAGTTGGTATCATCCCATATCTGCATATCCAAGCTTCATACACACAGACAATCTGAGTAGGTTCAGAGAAACCATTGGTTCAAAGGAGCCAAATAAAACCTCAGACTTTAAAATGGGAGACATCCGCTTGTTTCATTTTTTTCAGCACTGAACCAAGAGCTTATGACACTGTGGTGCTACTAGTATATTTTGGTCTGTGCCACACTTCATTTTCACACCACCATGACAAATTATATATTGTTTCAAAGATCTGAGTCTCTTCTATACATGCAAAGAATTTCCCATGTTACTGAGACAGCTGCTGACACAAGAATTGGGTCAGACTTGTAGCTAGAGCTCTAATGTGATAAGTCTGCAGGCCTTGTGTTCCTTTAAAAAACATTTCTAAGTATTTCTTACACGAGTCACAAATTATAAGATTCACAGGTTTACACAGAAACACTAAAACATTATGCAGATAATCTGGAAGGTGAGAAATACTTTGACATCCAAGGAGGCAGAAAACTCCAACTCAGCAGAAAAGCAGCTAAACAGAACTGAAGCAAACTGAGGGACAGATTGATGTCACGTGACTGGACACAGGAGAAACACATCAGGTCAATCACAGAGGAGGGAAACAGGACAAAGGCAGGAAGTCAAACAAGCCGGAGACATAGAAGAAAAGAACTTCAAAGTAAAACAGGAAATAATATCTTCAAACACCCGAAATGCTAATTCTAAAATGAGAAAAGCACTCGGTGGAGCGCAGACCTCCGCCAAGGTCCAACAGTCCATTGAAATTCAATCAAGCTGCACCAACAAACCAGTCCCCAGTCCTCCGAAGCTTCATGAATTCTTCTCTGTGGAATCAATGTCTGAAACTACCCTGTTTCACAACGTTAAAGAAAGTGATAAAATAATAATTATATATATATATATATATATATATATATATACACACACATACATATGTACTTTGTGGTAGCACATGAAATCCAAACGGATCAGTGATGTAACGACTGGATGGCTTTGCTCTTTAAACATCCAGAGTGGAGATATTCTTCTTGTCAAACACTGTGTGCCTGAGCTCTCGGTGTGGGATCAGACAAATGCTACAGCAAACACAAGCTGACAGCTGTTTCGATGAGAGTAAATAACAGGGAGTGACTGTGTGGACACCGGTGTCACACATCTGCTGGAGTTGACATGACAATAAAAAAGTAGCAGCCGTACGAGATGTTTGTCTCACAGCGAGGGTTTGAGCTCCACGAGAAACGCTGTCCTAAACTTAATGTGAGAAATGAAAATGTATTGTGAGAGGCAACATGAATTTTGCTTGTTTTTTAGCTTTTAAAGATCTAATATGGGATCTAACCCCCGACAGATCTGCCTCTGATGTCAACCAGAAATGAACATCCACTGCTCCTCCTCCCTCCTCCCCTCCTTTCCTCAATCTATTCCTATCTCCTTCGTTAGGAGCAGAAAGAAGGAATCGTGTAAAAATGAATCTGCGGCAGCTCCTCGGTCGTCAAAGCTGAGCACAGCGACGGCTAATTGGCTCCCAAGAAAGCTGGGTGGGTGTCAGCTGGGACCGAGCTCCAGCATCACGTTGGGCTATCACACACACACAGTTAAGATCTCATATCTCCCTGCCCCCCCTCCCTGTCACATAGACCAGAGAAGAAGAAGATAAAACACCACTCGTTCTCTGCAGCTTTATTGGCTGTTTCTCAAGCTGCATTCTGCATATCAGTGAAGCACTTTGCTGTCAAGGTTGTTTTCCCAGTTGCTCTACTGATGGTGTTTGTCTCACCGAGCTTGTTAATACAGGGGGGCTCCGTTATATTATCATTCAGGCATCCATTCCACTCAGTTCTACTCCACAGACAAGACAACACAAGCTGACTCTGGGTCACATAAAGCCAAACTCTGGCTTCATTTCTGGATAGTGGAAGGAAGCGTCGTCCATAAAGAATCAGTGGGATCTTGCCAAAAAAAGTTAAAGCACACGTCTTATCACACCGATGTTTGTTCAAGTGGTTTTAATTACTTCTCTGATCACTCCAAATGTGCAAGATGGCAGCGTTCGTATCCGTGATATTCTGGCTTCAGTCCTTGAACGTGGGAGGAAGTGGAGACGCACCGTTCATTTCTATATATATATATATACATACAGTCTACGGTATAAATATGAGGGTGGGAATAATCTACCTGCAGGAAAATATGTGTGTTTCACAAACAGGGACAGTGAGATATTACGTGAACTATAAATGTAAACTGTTGTGAAAGTGGTTCATCTTCTAATTTACAATGTTACTTGTTATTTTTAATTTTTTTCTGGCTCCAGCCAATTCACTCATATCTGTCAGCCTGATCTGAACGTGGAACAGCAACAGCTCACGTGTGTCAAGTTTCCCATGAACGTGTCAACTAGGACGTCTACATGAGAACTGCACCTGGCTGCCCATAATAAAATTCACACACACACACACGCTCGAGTAGAAGCAGGTCTTTTCCATGTTTGAATAATGCTAATGTTTTACAGGACATGTTACCCAGCAGCCATCATTCTGTCCTCACGTAGAGACGACAGGGAACAGCAGCAGGTGGAGGGGACTTCACCGATGCCCTGCAGAGCTCTGCAACTTCTGTCGACCTTTCTCTGACATTCTGAGTCATTTATTGAAAAATACTTAAAAAAAAAACTAATACAACATAATTCAGTAATGTATTAGTGTATTTCCACTAAACAAACTTCTTTCACTGTGCATTATATGAAACATGTTACCTACACGGGAAAGAGAAAGAAGTTGTCAGACAGGCATGTTGTGTTCAGCGTTTCTTATCAGAACAGGAAGTGGGTTCAATGTTTGAAACAACATCGACAGAGCTCAGGAAGAAGCTCACATTTCCAAAATATCACTGTTCTTCCACTTCTTTCGTCACTGCACTAATTCTGACTCAAGTACAAGCAGTAAATCAAATTCCAATTTAATCCACAAGCACAGATCTTATTCCTAGAGAGAAACCAAAAGGAAAGTAATGACCCAGTGAGGCTGCAGGTCACATCACTGCTGCCTCATCTCTCCCTCTGCTCATTTCTGCGGTTGATTTGTAGGTAGTGCAGTTTTTCATTTCTGAGTAGTAGCAGGCTTGATGTCTCTGCACATCGCTAAACCCAGCGGTGAGGTGATCACCACACTGCAGCACCACTTGTCCTCCTTACTTGGTCATTTGTCAAGTCCTCATTTGCATTTACTGCAGAGGAGAGGAAGACGCATCAGTTGAATGTTGCAGTATGAGAGATGACTAACAAAGTCCAGTCATCACAACACTTAGATTTAACAAGCACAACTTGTACATTTCTCCAACTCTGCCATGTTTGAATGCACTTTCAGAAAGTAAAGAATCACCGCCCTGCATTTGTGCGCCTCCACCAACCAGTGCAATTTCATTACGCATATTTTTCCCAGACTAGTGTGAAGTCACTGTGACCTTTGACCTTTGACCACTGAAATCAAATCACTTCATCTTTGAGTCCAAGTGACAACAGGCCAAAATTTAAAGAAATTCTCTAAAGGCAGATTTGAAATATCACGTTCAAGAGGCCCCTGTTAACTGTGACCTCCCAACTCTAATCTATATTCAATCAGTCCGTGAGTCTTCGTGAATATAAGGGAACACGGAGAAAAGAACTGAACTAGTCATTTGAAGTGGAAGCAGGGGAGGCTAAAAGTTTAAAGGGAGCAAAACATGACGTCTGCATGAAGTGAGTGTGCTGGAGTGTGTTCTCGTGTCAACTGCTCGTCCTTCAAGTACCGCTTTTTAATCAGGCTGCTGGATGTCATGTTGAACAACAGGGTGTTGCAATAATTAATAAACCTGTCCTTCAGCTGAAGCAGCAAACAGCGGGCGCATGTTTAACTTTTGTTTCTGTAGATGTCTTTATTTGTTGAACCCACACCAGGAATGTTAGAAGCAACACTTTCTCTCAAGATGAAACGAGACCGTGTTACTCACTGAAAGCAGCGATGGCGAGGACAATGGTGACAGCGATGGACACCCAGGATACCCACAGGGCTTTCTTACGGTAGCTCTGTGCTTCATGAGGCTTCAGACGCATGCTGCTCTCCAGAAGACCTGCACACAACAACACAGCACAACTATTACCCACTGACAAACACCAGTAATTACTCGTAATAATATATAAATGCACCTTTAAAGAGCAGTGGATTACTTGGAAATACATGCCAATAGTTCTTCTTGATACTTAAATTATTTTGCCTCAACGAGGATATATCACTGTGGCAGTAGACCGTGCCACGGGGTTCCCACCACGACAGCCAGAGACGAACCAGTCCAACCATTGGGTGCTCAGCAACATCTTTTTATTTCATACAAACAGAACTGACAAAACACTTAACTTAAAGGGTCCAGCACTTTCTGCTGGACCTTTAGCTTCACCCAGTCTCTTCCCCAGTGTGTCTCTGAGGCAGCTCTGCTGCTGCCTTTTCAATCATGAGGATCAATCAGCTAACAGATCTCACCTGTGCTGACTGATCCTCTGTGGTGCAGGTGCTCTCTCAGCCCCTTCACCTGCACAAACACCTCATAAAGCTGACATGGTGAAAGTGTTGTCAAACAGTGGCCTATTTACACATCACACACATCACACACATAACACCATCGCTCATTTGAAGCTCAGCCCGACCACTGTTGATTTTTGAGGGCGGATGCTAATAGAGTCAAAATATACAAACCCATAAGTCGGCCAATATTAAAAGAAACATCTAGCACTCGTTCCCAAGATGTTGATATCGAACTCTTACGATAAAGAAATGTAATTAAGGTTTGTGTGTAAAATATATATGACTATTGCTTTTAACTTTTGAAGTTGGGCTTATTTGTGCATAAGCATCCATTTATTTGGTTTGAATGACAATAATTGCATTGTGTATTTACATAAGAATGTAAAGTATTTATCTACATGAAGTAACGAATGCTTTGATAAAGATTTACAGAAGTGAGTTTCCACTTGTTCCCCCTTTTTCCACATGAGGCTTAAATGTCTATTGAAGTGAAGGTAGAGGAAGAGAACTACACACAGACACACTTCTTTCTGTGTCATGTTCATGATGTGGAACACAACGGTCGCCTGTGGCTTTTCACTCACTCCTCCTGAAGGCAAACCACTAAGTAATCCACTCAGTCCTAATCACAGCACTGGTTCTTCTCAGAAATGAACGCAGGTGTGCAAACTCTCGTTTAACACGTTGACCATAACAGTTTCATCATCTCTCCCAGTCTGGAACATCTTTCTACATCTGGATGAATGCACAGTCAAGCATGGATCAGGACGCACTCTCCATGGCACCAGGGCGCACGGTGCGCTCTGGGCATCTGTGGAGTGCTGAACTTTGAACCCGCTCCACCTACCTCTGTCATCTATGCTCTCTGTCATCTTCATCTCCTGGTCCATCTTCAGACCCTCTCCCGGACGCTCTGTGCTGCTCCGCTGCTGCTGCTGCTGCTGCTGCTCCTGGGAGTCCGCCTGCTCGCACTGGCCGTTCACCGCCGCGGGCTCCACAACCACAGCCGGGTGCGGGGCGGCGGTGGAGTCTGGAGGTTTGGAGTCCGTCATGTTCTCGGCAGTGAGGCAGCGCAAGAATGTCACACCTGAGCGAGAAGTGCAAGGAGGGGGAGACACCCGGCGACAGAGAGGGAGGAAGGGAGGGAGACTCCTGTCAGGGCTGCAGGTCCAGTGGCACCAAATTACGCACTGTGAGGGGAAATGAGAGCGGAAATCAGAAGATGTGCACATCAAAATAAAAGTCTTGGAGACACAACGTCTCATCTCCACACAGCAAATAACATTTCCATTGATTTGTCTTTGAAAATGTTTTCTGGTCTTGTTTTATTGTGGGAGAATAAAACATCTAATAGCATTTCTTGTCTATGCATTTCAATTTAGTACAATTTGTTTAAATTCCCCTTTAAGAATATGAGAAAACATCTTATACATATGCCTTTATTTTGTGTAATTAGATTTATCATTGTTTTCACATTCTGCTTGTTAAAAAGGCTGATTTATATTTATCTACTAGTAAAGTAGATAAATATAATTCAGGACTATTCAAAAACTGAAGTTTTACAGAATAAAACAATTGCAGATTATTATCATATTATTATAAATGCTGCATAAACATTGACGTGTCAGTATCCACATAATAAATGAGCTCATGTTTGCTCACATTCGCCACCATGAGCTAAATGTAGCTTAAAATGAGTTGAGCAAAGTTGAATAATGTGTCATTTGCTCTTTCAAAAGCTGTTATTTAGCTTTTTTACAAATATATTGAAGGCACAACTGACCCTTGCTACATTTCACATATTAGCTTGTTTGTTTCTAACTAAGTAAATGTTCTGGATATTTCTTAAACAAGTTAGAAGTTCAGATTTCTGTGGAAGAAAACGGCTGTGTATTTTGAAAGTAATAACCGGAAATAGTGTGTGTAGGTGTCAACAAACCTGACAGGAGATGTTGCGCAGAGACTCAGAAAATACACATGTCCACATTAACAACAGTTCACAGTGTGGTGACACACACACACACACACACCTGGACTCTAATTACTGCTCCTCGACCTCTGCACAGCTGCGGAGCCGCGCGAGCTGCCCACGAGGAGAACATCTGTCCGCAAACATGTGGATCGAGCCCGCGGACGTGCACGAAGACGTTTGTGTCACAGCCCTGAGGAGAGACAGAGTTAGAGAGAGTCAGGGGTTGTCTTCTGTCTTGTCCTCACAACCTGAGGACAAACCCATGATGATCATTCATCATCTGACTTCAGAGAGTGTGAGGATGTGTGAGCTTCTGTGTTTTCTGCTGGAAGAGTTCGGGAAGATTTAAAGAAATGTTATAATAATCAGTAATATTGGTAAATTATCGCTGATAATTAGCTTTCATAGGAGGTATCTTTGAAATTCATCATTCTTCATATCTAAAACCTCACTGAAAAATGATAATTAAAATGATGTGGCCTGGTTCTCTGATCATCTTGATCACACACTTGCTCTGCTGCCATGCACTAAAGGGTAACGCCTCTGAATAATTAAGAATTCAGAAGTCACTCTCAAAAAGTGATAACATTCCTGTTAAACAAAGAACCTGAGGTGGTGAAAATAAACGTGGACTTGGAGTGTTTGCAGACCACCCAGATAATCAAGAGGCCTAGTGTAGCATCAAAAATGAATGAATGTTTTCAACTATATTGGGTTTATGCATGTAAGACACATTTTCCAACTGTGAAAGTGTCATTTAGCAACATTAGTCAGCAAAATATATCCAGACTCTAGGTAAAGAGGACTTCTCACAAATAGTACAGAGCATGCAGGGCTGGCCCAAAGTACAATGCTGACATCTAGTGGCTGATCTGGATATTACAACTCAAGAAAAACAACAGAACATGCGACGTCTACAATCTTGTGAAAAAATGCTAAGCAATTTATGTTTCCATTCGGGAGGACCAAAACTGCAATAGATAAATAAATAAATAGTCTTTCCCCTCAAACTGCAATTATTTTTCATTCAATTACGTCTGCACTTGTTTATTTCTGCATCTTTTTATCTATGAAGAAATGATTGAGTAGTGTATTAATTTATTCTAAGATTTTAACGTTTAAATCCTCCGATTGTAAAATACAAATTAAAAATAATATTGCTACTTTGTGTATTTTTTAAATCTTGAAATTCCTTTTGAATAAAAATAGCTATTTGCACCACCGGCCGCTGGCGGCGCTGTTGAGCGTCCTCCAGACATCGGCACCATCCGGCCTGGCTGGGGGGAGCGTAATGGCGGTGCACCGGGGACCCTCCACGAAATGGCTCTTCACCCGGGAGCAGCTGGAAAACACGCCGTCTCGCCGCTGCGGGATCGAGGCGGACAGAGAGCTGTCGTACCGCCAGCAGGCCGCCAACTTGATCCAGGACATCGGACAAAAACTCAACGTGTATCCTCTGAAACGTGGAGGCTAGCGGGGTTAGCCCCGGGTTAGCTTTAGCGCACAGGGAGGACCGGAACAGCACGGCTCGTTATATTTCACAGTTCCTCTCTGAAACACTCTTTTTTGAAATGTCTCTTCATCACGTTCAGATCCTGTCAGACAAGATGGATCATCCATATAAGTTAACACGACATGTTTTACCTGCTAAGGTCGCTGAGGCCTGTCTGCTAGCTTAGCTATTGTTTAGCCTCTGTAGACTGCAGCTTCTATTGTTAGCAGTGTGTCAGTGTAAAATCAGTGATTACAGGTAATCGATACACGTTATAGCTGGTAGTTAACACTATTACTGCGATGTACATTGATTTCTACACCGCTACTAATACTACACAGCTGATGAGTGTTAAATTCAGATGGGTTAGCCAAAGTTAGCTTTAGCTCACTTATTGGTGGAATAGCAGGGCTTGTTTTATTTAACTGTTTCACTTCAAAACAAGGTGAAACGTGTTGTTATCACCAGTTTCACAAATGATCACCCAGTCTCTGGTAATACTTCATGCACAACCTGCTGTGGGGAGCTGAGGCCTGACTGCTAGCTTGGCTGCTGCTGGCTATTGTTTAGCCTCCTCAGGCTGCAGATTCTATTGTTAGCCGTGTGTCGTTATAATATCAGCGATCGTAGATAATCGATAAAAGTTGTACGTGTTATTCAACCCTCACTGTTTATTATTGGGTCCTGCAGCATTAGCCAAGGTAAAGCTAATGTCTTGACTGCGCCTGGTGTTAACTTATAGGATACACGTTTTGCTAGCCGTCCACTCAACGCTAGCTTGATGCTAATGTGCCAAGTTTTCTGCTCTCACTGAAAACGATCCCTGGATTTTGCCTTAACTGTGAACCCAGCTCTCAACTAACCATCAACACTGCTATAGTATATATGCACAAGTTTTATATGATCCACTCCTTCACCAAATTCCATCGCAATGTAAGTATCAGCAGTTTTTGGCTGACATCACAACCACTGCTGGTGAAACCATTTGTGAAAACTTGAGCTTGTTTTTAATAGATCATCTCCCAGACCACGTTGTTCCTGGCAACTAAAGTTGAAGAGCAGCCCAGGAAGCTGGAGCTTGTCATTAAAATGGCCCATGCCTGCATTAACCCTCAAGAGCCTGCCCCAGACTCCAAAAGCAATGTAAGTAAAGTCTGACTGAAGCCGCTTTCAGGCACCAACTCTGGAAAATATACAGAGACTTGGGTCTGGACACTTTCCAGACTTTCCTTTGTGCATATGAAGAATGCAGCAAGAGGTTGACTTGGTCAGACGTGTTCCCAAAAACAGAAAAATGTTTGGAACATTCAGGCGAAGGGTGACGCCGGGTTACAGCAAGCAGAAGGATAAACTTTGCTGTGGGAGTGACTTGTTTTTGTTTACAGCACATACACACCAGCGTCAGCTCTTATCACCAAAATCTCTTGTCTTTTCAAAGTGATATCTCAATCAGCGTCTTCTCGTAGATATGTCACCTCTTCTTCATCCTGAGATGATATATATTATTTCTCACATGGGCTCACTATGACATTTTACTAAGGGCTCGTTAGGGAACACTCTGGAAAATGTCCAGAGCAACTGACTTGGACATTTGCGTTCCCACCTACAGAGAATTTGTGGAAACATCCAGAGATCAGTGCATGTTTGAAGGCAGCTTGAGATGCAGATGTTTTTCGCTCCCAGTTCAAACTGGACCTGATGTGTGATGATGTGTTTGACATGGATCACAGGTTAAGTTGAACCTGGACAAACTGACATGCTTTATAGAACATAAGGTTATGATTGAATCATTGTACTGATCAGGATTTGACTTCGTATGGATTTTGAGCTGATTAAACTGTTGAATTACATTTGAGGTTCCATACACAAAATAATCACACAATTAATCCTAGATTAACACTTGAAAGGGTGATAAATTGTGTGGGTACTTATTATTCCAGTAAAGCTTGATTTGGTCCTCACAGTTTACCTTTAAGGATTAAAAGCCCAAAACTACCACCTTGATATGATCATTTCCCATAGTGCAGTTCTTTATATTGTAGAAATACTGATTTGATTTGTCTGTTTCCAGCTGTTGTGATGCAGATTTCAAATTCCTCATTGATTTATCTTTTTCAGGCATTCCTGCAGCAGGCACAAGAGCTTGCAGCACTGGAAACGATACTGCTGCAAACACTGGGTGAGTCATATTGAAGCTTCAGTGCTTCAGACATTGTGTGACTCAGATTTGTTTGCTGTTTTTCATATTTAATGCTGAACAACATTCTCATCGCAGGTTTTGAAATAACAGTAGATCATCCACACACAGATGTTGTGAGGTGTTGCGAGCTAGTGCGAGGTAGGACCTTTCTTTCTCTGCTTTTCTTACTTCAAATCACTTTCAGAACCATTTTTTCTATCAACACTCAGTGTGTCTATGTTTGGTGTTTTTCTTAATGCTAAATTTCATGCCACCATGTAAAAAGATCCCAAGCTTTTCATCCATATTTCTACACTAGTTTACTGCCTTATTTAGGATTTCATAAACAGTAATTGGAAAATGAACTCAGCTCTAATACAGACTATTTTTCTTCTTTTACAGCAAGCAAGGACTTGGCACAGACTTCCTATTTTATGGCTACCAACAGGTTATTATCCTGTTCCCATTATTGCACTGTAATGGCACACTATAGCTTCCTGTCCTGCAGGGTCCCCCTTCCTGTGTCCAACGCCCTGTTTGCGTCTGGATCCTGGGAACCCCCAAAGTGGGGAAGTACCAGCCAGGCTGCTGTGTGCGGTGTATTGTACAAGGGCTCTGTGTTGGCACATAGGGGTT